TAAAACTCACTGAATTGTAACAATGCAATTCCAGGGTCATCGGCGTCGAGCTCAGCAGTTGCAGATGATCTTTTTAAGCCTTTGGTTTTATCGAGTGCTTCCTTGCGGCTAGCCTGATGTGAAGAAAGCTAGATGTCGCCAATGTTATCAAGATCCGCAAGTTTTTTAGAGAGGATGGGGGAGCGTCGACTACAAACTGCACCAATGCCATTATCCACAGTGTTGGTTCTAAGGGTTATGGGTTCATAAGGTTTAAGGCTTAAATTGTTTCTAAGGCTAAGGGTTAGCATCAATGCCAAAGGTTATTAACACTACCTAACCCTTAGATACATATTACTCATAAGAATGACAATTATGAACCAGAATTAATTTTTTTAGGCATTGAAGAATGCGTTCACCCAACTAATCCTACTGTAATGCCTCCTCCAAGATCTGAAATCTGGAAGCTCTTCTACCCTGGCACTAAACAAAATGGCTCTCACCTCTATATGCATTGTCTTGGCTGTTTAGAGAAGCATCATCCTGATGGAGAAATTATGGAGCTTGATAGTAATGAATTCACTAAATTATCATTCAAATTGTGGGTCATAGAAGGTAAGTAAAGCTTACTGTCTGATTGTGAAACCAGACTGATGCTATTACTGCAAAAGCATGTAAGAATGATGTTGGTGGCGTCCTTGGAGTCAAGAATTTGATGATTGCACATATACTTGGAAAGAATGGGAGTCATCCATGCCCTAATGCATCAGCTCATGCTCAAAAGATGGCTAAAGCACTCAAGAAGAGAAAAGAAAAGAGATCAAAGGATGAGGTATCAGAAAGTGAAGCAGATGATGAAAAGGACGAGAAGAAGCCCAAAAAACTACTTACGAAGGTCAAAGCATCAATGAAACAGTTCCACCTTAAACTTTCCCATGGCATCAATATCCCTTTTACTCCCAAGCAAGAGAAAGTTGTCCGAAAACAATTTCTTTGGGCCATCATATCTGCAAACCTTCCATTTTGATGGGTCGAGGATCCTGAAGTCATGACATTATTTCTTTTATTCTGGTCAACAGCTGGTAATGTTATGCCTTCGCGACAGCAGATCCCAGATCAGCTACTTGATAAAGCCAATGATGTGGTTGCAAACCAGCTTAAAACATCATTGCAGGGGAAGTATGCTGTCTTGACATCGGATGAGTGGAAGGATGAGTCTCGCAATGCTGTAACAGACGTCAATCTCTCTGTTGATGGAAAAGTAAGGATAGATTGGGTTTTATTGCGCTCAAGAACTTACCAAGCCTCTGAAGACTTATCTTGTCAATCTCATTCTAGCAAACTCACACAAGAAGGATGGGAATGCGATGTGTCATGCATTTGAAGGTATGATAGATAAAGCAGAGGAGGTATACAGTGTATATGTCGTTGCTTTATGCTGCGACAACAATGGTGATAGTCAACATAGAAGGAAAAATGTGGTGTCAAGGAGACAGTGGCTGTTCAGTCCACCATGTTATGCCCATCAGGTTTGTTGATCTCCTTTTGGTGAAAACAATTTCTAAGACATTAATATTTAGTTTCAACTGACCGCCGGAGATTATTTTCTGGTGAATGAGGAAGGAGCAGTGATCGCTGAAAAGGCTACCAATCTCATTGGTTGGATACTCAATCATGGACTGGTCCATTCCATCTTTGATGCTGTTCAATCAGCAAATTCCAGAAAGATTCTCGCATTTCTCATTGCCAACATGACTCATTGGAATACCCATTTCATTGCCTTTGACCATCTTCAAGACTTGAAGACTTCTTTGCAGCTGGCTGTATTCATGTGGAGGAATAACATTATTGCTGCACAAGTGGGTGCTAAAAAGAACCAAAAGAAGAAGAGAAAGCTCTCTGATGATGCCACTCAACACTGTGACATGATTGAGGATGGAGGTTTCTGGCGTGGACTCAAGGATGTTATTGATGATCTAGAGCCAATCTGTCTTGGTCTGAATATGAATCAGACCAACCTTATGCGTCCAGACCAAGTGCTCTTATCATTTGCTAGAATCTTTTTATATTTTCAGAAACATATGAAGGAGTTGGTGGCTGATGATATGACCAAAAGGATTGAGAAGCGCTGAAAAGCGCTTGACTAGCCAATGTTTGTGCTGGCCCTAATTTTAAACCTGTTTAAAGGAGTTTCACGCTTTGATCCCAAGGCTGGAGTTAGTCCGTTTACACTTCATACTATTCTGATGGAGGCAAGTGATTTAATTTTGATACACAAGGATAGATTTTGACTTGATATTTAACTAGACCTATCGACGTATCCGCTCGCGACCTCCCAAAGTCCCTTGGACTGATGTCGAAAAAGAAATTTACCAAGAAGTCAAGCTCCAAAAGGAAAAAGAAGTATCAGAGGCTTTTTTCTCATATCTTTCTGAGCGCAGGCCATTCGAAGACTGGGAGAAGAATAAGAAGACCTTTTTACAAATCAATGTGAGTGTTCAGATGGAAATCAAAAAGCAAAACTCACAAATGACAGGGAAATAATCCTCTGGCCATGTGGACAGCTTTTCTTTCCGTAGAATCTATTTCTGAGCTCGCTGACTTTGCGATCCTCCTTCTCGGCATCTCCGTGAACCAGGGAGGGCTAGAGCATGACTTCTCTGATCTCAAGATCAAGAAAACTTGACTTTGAAATCGCCTGACACTGCCACAGCTTGAGAAAATGGCAAAGGTTTGTAAGACAGCAAATTCAACTTACCATTAGTCTCATGTCTCTTGGACACAGGTTGGTGCCAATATCCGAGCATTACACAAGGATGCTGGGCTTGTCGGAGATCGAGCAAAGCGCCAAAATCATGAGAAAGAAAAGGCAGCAGAACTGCTGGTAGTGCCACGCTATGCTGATTTACTTAAGGAAAGTGCTGAGGGAAATGGAAATGAGCAGGATGGTGCTGATGAATCCAGGTCAAGCCTTGTGAAATTTGGAAAGGACTGGCAAAAGGAAATGGCAAAATAGGTGCTTAAGGAGCAAGAGCAAAGCGATGATGAATCTAATGATGACTTACTTGATGCCGTCTATAGCTGACAACGCTCCAAATGGCTCTCGCAATCCCTAAGTCTCTTATTTGGCGGACGAAAAGAGACTGAAGTTGATGAGCAAGTGAGAAGGGCTAGAAGAAGGCAGGCATACACGGAAGAGGCTCGCTTGATGGAACTATTGGCCAATGAAGAAGAAGATGAGGACAGGATACCCGACGATGGAGAATTAGAGGGATCCGGTGATGATTTTGAGGAGTGATGAGAAAGAGAACCTTCCATTTTTGGTCGGAGTCTTAATAACCCCTTAGATTGATGTCTTAATTAATGCATATATTTAAGAGATAATCCTTAGCCAAAAAAATCAGGGTTAATAACCTCTTAGAGTCCAACACTGAAATCTCGGCTTGGCGGGCTCAGGGCTTATGAGCTGAGCCTTGTAAATCACTAATAGTTTGACACGCACCAGGACCTAGGCAACTTGTTGATTTACTCTTTCCAACATTGAACTGGAATAATTTGAGGAACTGTTTATGAACAGCACAAGAAGATCTGGCAGTTGGTTAAGCAGAGGTACAGTCAGTGGCACACAAGACAGCTGGAGAATGGTCATTGCCAGTAGAAGCTGGCTTGTTCTTTCTAAATTCCATGGCAGGTGGTGGGGATGAGAGTCAGTGTCAAGTTTCAGGTGCACACACATAGTACATATTTAATACAAAGGCTATCGTTGTGGTTGTCAATCTGTCAACTTGTTTGTAATGAGGAATTTCCACAGATCAGTCTCGTTAACAACCATTTAGTTTGTCTGCATTAAACATAAGATTGTGCAGTTGTACATGTGGTCTGCTGATCCAAGGTATCAGCAATGAGTTGCAACGAGTCTGTGATTGAGTTAGGAAATTGATAGAGCAAGAGGTATTATGAATAAAGGGCAAGAGATGACCAATATTGACACTCCAGTTTAATTGATAGGAAAGAATCCTTGTTCGGAACTTGTACGTGATTTGTTTTGACAGGCTCACACATGAACCATTTCTCCATTATCTAAGTGTCAATGGGTCAATGAATAACCAACCGAGACTTCTACATGTGGAGCCATCCATGTTTTTCGAATGATATTGTGAGGCATTTCTCCTGGGCTGAACCAGAATTTCTATTAGTTTAACTCCATGTCAAAGCAACTGGCATGAACTGACTTCTTAAAAATCATTTCATTGCATTCCCCTTCCTATTGTTCTTTCAACAATGGCACCTATGTCCGTGTTCTTGCTGGATGCGCCACCTGTAACGGCATCATCAATCAGTTTCCTGTTCAATGCATCGTCTCCCTCTCAAAACATTCCTGCACCTGTTCTCCACAGCATTGGTGTCCTAGACCCAAGAAGGAAAGAATACCGGCAGTCAGAATGATCAGGTGTGTTGACTTGCTGAAGTTCTGGTCTTGGTCAACGCACCTAACGTTTGAAAACAACATCAAAAATTGTCTTCAGATTTTGCTCGTGCATGCCAAATGCTATTCGTGTTGAACACGGTCGTGTAGGCAGCTTACCATGTATTTAGTGGGACCAGTCCTCTGCTCCACTGTCAAGCAGATGCAGAATGTTTGTAGCACCTCATATTTTTGTGCCGGCTCTGTCTTCCCAGCTTGCACAAGAACAAGAAAGTCTGGATCAACAATGTTTCTGCTTATGTTGGATATAGCGTGATGAGTTGTAATGATAGCTATAACAAGACTAACCATGCAAGGCAGCACTGGGCGCAATGAAAGCTTGTTCAGTTCTCACAATCGGTAGAGAGAGGACGGAAATACCTTGCTAGGCACTTGAAAACAATCAAGGAGCAGGAGTCTTCTTGCGCCCAGAGACAATCACGGCCCATTCTCGAGGTGAATTACTAAACTTCGGAGATAGAGACGAGCCTGCGAGAGTGATGCGCAGGAGGGGGTGATTCCAAGATGCCAAAAAAAGCCACTATTTCACTGCATAGGGCCTGACCGGGAATTGAACCCGGGACCTCCTCGATGACGGAAGATAGATTGCCACCCTAACAAGGAATCATACTACTAGACCATCAGGCCGGTGAATGCATACCTGGATTCGGACTACCCAGTCAGCATGGAGGCATTGAACGCAGGAGAGACGATGTATGCACGATGTCCAGCATTGTATTGTGTTTCGTTGAGTATGATATAGATATAGATATACGTGTACAAGTCATGGGTATACAAGGAAATTAGGGTGATTAGATATGATACAGTAGTTTACTAGCTGACGAGAGGAGAGGGAAGAGGAACGTTCTGTGTGTGGTAGTTAAAGTTCGTGCTATGCTCGAGTCAGATTTTTAAATGTTACAGCGAGGCAGGAAAAACAATGAATGGATGTCCGAGTGCGAGTTCCAAAGATTCCGATGGAGCGAGTTCGATGAACCATTAATTAGCTGAGGAACGCATACAATACAACCTTCAAATCCATTTCCACCAACGCAAAGTGAATGAATCACTTCAGCCTGAAAAGACTCAAAAACGATCTCGACGTCTTCGTCTTCACCGTCCTCCGGCTCTCGTTCCAACTCGCAGGAACACGATACACGGCCTCCCGATGCATCTTCACAGGGAGCGACACCGGCTCTTCATCCATCTGCATCTGCAGCGCAGGCCTGAACGACGCCTCCAAAAAATCCTTCCTCGCGTCCCCGGCTTCGTTCTCGTCGTTCCCGTGATCAGGCGACACACCGCGCACCGGTACGTGCGCGACGATGTTGAGTGGCGCGGGACGGCGGCGCTCTGTACCCCTGCATCTCTGCGTCGGCGGAGGGTGCACGGGGGCGGGCGACGCTGGAGCGCGCGGGGTTCGCGGTGTTCGCGGCGTTCGTGGGGTACTGGGTGCATGTGGTGTGCGCGGGGTACGCGGCACCGCAAACGCGTTGAGATCGAGCAGGAAGAAGCTGGATGATGCGCGGAGGTGGTGCCGTGCGTGTCGTGGGCGCGAGGGGATGATGAGGATCGGTTCTTGCGCTGCACGAGCACGGGCATGGGCACGCGGAGGGTATCCCGAGGGGGTATCGAGAGGCGGTAGCGGCACTCTCACGAGTTTCGCGTCTTCCTCGGCGGGCTTGATGAGATTGCCAAGGTCCAAAGATGCGTCGGACATTGCGCTGCCTCGCCTCCCGTCGACAGGGAGACTCGCGATCGCCAAGCCGCGTTCGTCGTCGTCGTCGTCCTCCTCCTCCTCCGTTTTCACTTCGCCGCCGAACGAGACCCACTTCTCCGGGCCAACGACGCGCGAAGCGTCGTGTCCACCAAGCAGATGGACGTACTCCATCTCTTGTTCGCGGTCCAACCAGACTCCGCCCTTGCCGTCGCGGTAGACGTCGCTGACGGCCACCGCCTTGGTCCCAGCAGGCGCAGCGGCGCGCGCACGGGATTCCATCAAACGTTTGATGTTCTCCTCTGTGCTACCGCCGTCAGAGAACTGCATCAACGCAAGCTCATACGCAAGCGCGGGCGGCAAGCCGGGTTTCTGTTTCGGCGACGAGAAGATAGTCTTAGGTTTTGATTTTTGGGGCTGGGCGTAGGCGTATACAGCCTTTTTGCGTGTTGCGATGGAGGCGGCGGTGACCTTTGGTGACTCGAGGTTAGTTGGGGAGGGTGGCAGTGTTGATGTGGCGGTGGAGTTGCTGCGGGGGCGCAGAATGGAGAGGGAGCGGAAGCCTTTGAGGCGGCTGGGGCGGGTGCGCGTGGGGGGCGCTGGGAAGGAGTCTGGGTTGATTGGTTTGGAGGCCATGGAGGGAGAAGGCGTGGGCAGATGCACGAAGACCGAGGTGTAGCCGAGTCTAGTGAGATCTACGGGGATATCAGGGGAGGATGGACGGCGGCGCGTGGAGGGCGAACTGGGAGAGCCAGGCTGGACGTGGGCTGCCCAGGCTGCGATTGCGCTAAACGTGGACGAGCGTCTGCGGGTCTGCGGAGTTGCTAAAGACATGGCAAGCACAAAGCAAGAAATGACAAAGAGTGGCCTCCTTGCGAATCATCTTATAGTCCGAGCGAACAATAGGAAGGACTGTTTTGCTGTGTTGATGTCTTCTGTGCACATTGTCCATCACCTGTACAATGATTTCTTCACAGCGTCTTGTTCTCCTGACAGTTAGCCTTTACTTCTGCGGCCCTGGATACAAGCGTGTCACAATTACACCTGACAGCCCTCCGCCCGCCGTATTCCATCCGGATCAAAGTCGAATAACCGGCCTG